ATTTATTAGCAAGATATAACTCGGCACCTACGAGGAGACATTGGAATGGAATAAAGCATATATTTCGTTATCTCCAAGGGACAATCGATTTGGGACTGTTTTATTCTAACGATAGAATACATGAAATAATCGGTTTTGCAGATGCAGGATATCTCTCAGATCCCCATAAAGCAAGATCTCAAACTGGATACGTTTTTACGATTGGCGGAACTGCATTCTCTTGGCGCTCTCAGAAACAAACGTTAGTTACGACGTCTTCAAACCATGTTGAGATCATTGCACTTCATGAAGCAAGTAGGAAAAGTATCTGGCTCAGAAACATGACTCAACATATTCAACAAGCCAGTGGACTATCGAACAATAATGACCCGACGGTGATATACGAAGATAATGCAGCATGTGTCGCTCAAACAAAAGAAGGATACATTAAGAGTGACAGAACTAAACATATCCCGCCAAAGTTCTTCTCATATGTGCAAGAGCTCGAAAGAAACAAACAAATCAAAGTTCAATACATTCGATCAAGCGATAATGCAGTAGATTTATTTACGAAGGCACTCCCGACGACAATATTTCGAAAGCACGTACACAACATTGGAATGAGACATCTTCGGGATTTGTATAGATGATAACTTGAGGGGGAGTATGTGCGGCTGTACTCTTTTTTCCTTATCTCGGTTTTTTCCCACAGGGTTTTTCCAAATAAGGTTTTTAACGAGGCAGCATAAACGCACATTTAATAGTGGTAACTCCAATAGGGAGTATAATGAATAAGTGGATTTACCACTACTAATAAATATTATCTTTTCATTTGTTATATTAAATGTATTGAGTTGTGTGCCCAACTTTGCCTATAAAAGGCAATATAGGTATAGCACTTGGTGTACGAAAGTGAATGAAGTGAAAGAAAGAAAGCTTGTTGTAATTTATTCGGTTTTTATACATTCTGTTCTTTATATTCCTCGCATTTTATAACAAGAATGAATTTTTTTAATTTGTTTTTATTTATATTTAATCAATTGGCATTTAAGTGAGAAAATTTGTCCAAATTTTGAAAAAAATAAATCCAATTGCCCCCAAAATTTGTTCCCAAACTTTGGCCTGAGCGGCTAGCTTTCATTCGAGTCCAACTGCTCCCAATTTCAACTAATTACGAAATATAACATTTTTCATATTTTTTTTTTTTTGTTCTCTTACTTAAAATTAATTCAATTTAAAATAATTATGAAAATAGTATTTAATTTACGACAAAAGGCTCAAATTTTGGTCGAGAATAAACCCAGCCCGAGTAACTCGCAAACGACTCACGAGACTCATTTGGAACTCTATGTATTCATGAGCAGCATTTATTAAAATCAAGTAATTTTAGCTGCCAAATGTCCTTTACTTCCGTAAGTGATTAATTCAAGAGAAAGACTTGGCGCCAACAATCACCCAACATTGTAAATATTCCTTTCTTCTCAATCCACATTGAGCTTACATACACTATTTAGTCACAACGAAACTAGAATCCAGTTCCTTGTTAAATCTTCCCTACAATTCAATTCCTTACTTTTACTTCCCATAAAAGTACAAACATTTTTTCCTAGATGGCAAAGTTATTATCAACTTTCTCACATACAATATGGTCATTTGGGCCGAGAAAAGTTAGTATTACACAAAACAAAGAGACTAGGATTAATCACAAGTCCCGCGACATGGGCTTCAACTATTTTCTCATCATCGTCTTGTTGTTTTTCACGATTGCTGACCGTTTGTTGGTTGATGGACTGGGTTGCAATTGGGGCCTACAAGCGGCCCACCCTCTCCAACCTGAGATAGTCGTCCAACTGATGAAGGACAACGGTTTTGACAAAGTAAAGCTGTTTGAAGCCGACCCGGGTGCAATGAGGGCACTTGGGAGGTCCGGCATCCAAGTTATGGTCGGCATACCGAACGACATGCTGGCAGGCCTTGCCAGCAGCGTTCGGGCCGCCGAGGACTGGGTGCAGCAAAACGTTTCCAACTACTTGTCCCCAAGGGGAGTTGATATAAGGTAAACAAACTAAATTTGTTTTCCAATACAGACAAAGATTAAATTTAGGCTCGTCTACTTGTCTAAAATCATTTTTATTGTACACTAACGTTCTTCTTATAAAAAAATAGTACTGTATATTACAATTTGTATCATATTTGATACATTACTCATAAAAAAATAGTACATTGTGTTGCAAATTGTCTAATTATTGGGACATCCAAAAATAATGAAACATTTTTCAGATTAATGTCCCAATAATGATACAAATTGCAACATATCGTACTATTATTTATGAGGAGAAAGTAAGATTATTAAAAAAAAAAAAAAAAGAACTTTAGACAAGGACCAAAAAAAAATGAATTTTTGCCTACCGTGTGCGAGATAAATTACGTACAAAATTACCATTCAATATACCAAGTATAAATATTACAAATTCCCAATTATATTAAAATGTCTTCACATAATTAATCTACCACTTTAACAACATATCTAAATTAGAATTTGGCATGCGTGACACCAGATACGTTGCGGTTGGTAACGAGCCGTTTCTGAAGACATACGACGACAGGTTTACGAACGTGACCTTCCCGGCACTCGAGAACATCCAGGCCGCCCTCATCAAAGCTGGGCTGGGCCGGGACGTTAAGGCCACCGTCCCACTCAATGCTGACGTCTACCAGTCCGTGTCGGGCCTCCCCTCTGGCGGTGACTTCCGGCCCGACATCCATTCTCTCATGACCTCCATCGTTAAGTTCTTGAGCGACAATGGGGCCCCACTCACCATCAACATCTACCCTTTCCTCAGCCTCCAGGCCGACCCCAACTTCCCTTTTGACTTCGCCTTCTTCGACGGCCGCGCCACCTCCCTTGTGGACGGCCAGTACACCTACTCCAACGTGTTTGACGCCAACTATGACACTTTAATCTCCGCCCTCGACAAAAACGGCTTCTCCAACATCCCTGTCATCGTGGGCGAGGTCGGGTGGCCCACGGACGGTGACCGCAACGCCAACCGACAGCTGGCCCGGAGGTTCAACCAGGGCCTGCTTGACCGGATCGCCCGCGGGCCCGGGACCCCAAAGAGGCCCGACCGCCTCCCGGACATCTACTTCTTCTCGTTGCTCGACGAGGATGCCAAGAGCGTTGATCCCGGAAGGTTCGAGCGCCACTGGGGGCTGTTCTATTTCGACGGGGCCATTAAGTACGGGTTGGATGTGGGCCCGGGCAGGAGGAACCTGACGGCGGCTAAAGGGGTGCGGTACCTTGACCGGCAGTGGTGCGTGATGAGGGCCGACGCAGACCCGACGGACCCAGGACTCGGGCCGGCCATTGGAATGGCGTGCACGTACGCGGACTGCACGAGCCTGGGGCCCGGATCGTCTTGTGCGGGACTGGATGGGAGGGGGAACGCGTCGTACGCTTTTAACGTGTATTATCAGACTATGAGTCAGCAGAGGGGGGCGTGCGAGAGGTTTGGGGGCCTGTCCGAGATCACGAGGATCGACCCTGGTGCGGGAGGGGACGGCTCGTGCAGGTTTGAGATCATGATTGATACGGGGAGGCACGTGCGGGCCCGAAACCGGGGGACATCGGGGGCGGTGGGTCCACGGACCGCTTCTTTTTCTATGTGGGTGGGCCTACTTGTTTGCGCTTGTCTCATGAGTTGAGGCAGAAGCTGGTTTATAGACTTTGCTTATTGTGCTATACATTTTAAACTGCAGTTTTTCTTTTTCTTGTGTTGATCGTAAGACCAATTCATTTTTTCCCAATATTCTGAAAATTGAACCGTTTATCGAACCGGTGAAGCCACTGGTTTAATGGTTCACTGGTCGAACCAGTGGTCGAACTGATCGAACCGATTTAGTTAGTATATAATTTTTATTTATTTTATATGTATAATATATAATAGTATATATTTTCAATCATTAATATTTTATAGTGTATAATAGTGTATAATGACATTTTTCTGAATAAGAGTTCAGTATAGATACAACCGATAATGTTGATAACTTTTTATTTTATTTTAATTTTATATCTTAAATTTTAATCTATATTTAAGTTAATAATAGATACTACCCAAGTTTGTATTTTAATTTTTAAATCAGATTTTATGTTACTTCTTATTCATTAAAAAATAAAATTATATGCAAAACAGAATTGCTTTCTTTTTTCTGCAATTGGGAATAGAATTAAAAAGCATTAACTATTATATGTTTAATTAAAATGCTCTCATTTTTTATTTTTCAATATACTAGCAGCTTTTGACACGCATTAAATGTAATCCAACCACTAAAATTATCCCCAATCTCACTTTCAAAAGTTAATGGATTTTTAATGTTGCATTATTTTAAGGGAAATTTTAATGTATACTTACCGTTTTTTTAAGTAATTGCAATATTATCTTTAGTAATACTTTAATTGGAATTATACCTAATAGATAAAGATTATTTGCATTTATGCCTACAATCAGTTACTTCGCTTTCTCT